GTCCTACCTGTTGCAGGTTGAATTATATCCAGGCACTAGAAGAAGGGGAGGAATGGCGAGTGACTGCTTAATGGCTACAGAGATTCCTTTTGGGGTGATGAAAATGTTTTGGAACTAGATAGAGGGTAGGTGGTGGTCGCGCAACACTGTGAGTGTCCCAAATGCCACTGAATTATGCACTTGAGAATAGTTAATTTTACGTTATGTGAATTTTCATCTCAATAAAAAAAGAAGGATGAAAAAACTTTAAAGGAAGGCTAGCATCTGATAAGAAAAGCTGTATGTAGAATTTAGCAATCTCTGCAATGAAGAACTAACTAGCACATTGAAATCACGACAGAGATCCAAAAGATCCTCTATGGTAAAAACCCACAGACCACTGGAGGGTAACCAACGACTAGGTACAGATGTTTAAGACTTTCCACCGTAGTTCTAAGGTTCTCTTCCTGTGCAACTCATGATTACTACCTTAAGAGAACACAGTAATTTTCATGTTTTCATCTTATGCAGAAACAAAACACTCTCCCAGGTAGTCTGGCAACATTCTCACTGTCCCTAACCTAGTAATCAAATCAACAATTCATTCAGCCACAGCCATTTGGAATTGTAACACATAATGATTTTAAGTTCATTATTTAACCTCTCCCTTGAAGGGCAGAGTCCAGTATGGTACACATGTTCCATTATAAAAGATTTCAAAAATTTCAACTAAGGATAATGTGAGAAACACTAGAGGTGTTCCAGAGTAGGAATAGCAGTCACTTTACTACTTTCCTGGTAACTGGTCTTCGATAAATTTAGTTGAATACACAACTGAATAAAGGGCTCCACCACGGTGCTCCTGTCCCAGGGGCGGTACAATTGCACAAATTATTTCTACCACGGCCCTGGGAGTCACACTTAGATGTTTTCTTATCTCTCCATCAAGAATGGAAATGTTAGTGAGAAAAAGTTTAACTTAGTTTAAAATCTTAGTTCCATAATGAAAACGAAACAAAAACACTTTCTTTTTGGTGAATTACATAACACAGCATCCTCTGGGGGTTCAGAGCACAGCCATACAGATTTGGCCACCATAAGAAGTCAAAACCATATCCTTAAAATAAGGAGATATTAAAATATTTATTCTCTAATTTGGGTAAGTCCTGTCTTTATCACCAGTGTGGAAAAGCGCTCTATTCACTTAGGAACTTATGCATACTTTGCAGTTTTCATTCCTGTATTTATTTGTATTTCCTATCTCGCAGAGAATACCTAGAGAATATATATATTATTAATAACCAGCAATTATACCATTAAGTTCCCACAAACCTAAAAAAACAAAACAAAAAAAACACTTTACTGACTTTTAAAAAAAGATATCTGAGAAGAGAGGCACACCTAAAACTCTGGGAACAAAACTGTCCCAGCTTTCTTCTCCTAAGTCTGGCCACATGAGCCACAAGAAGAGCCAGCTTTTATACTCCAAGTCAATTCTGGAAAGTACTCAAGCCAACTGCAACCCAAGGCTAAATGGGAGCAGATTTACTGTGTGAGGGCGAGAGTGGCACAGTAAGAGGCAAGTGCTACACTACCAAACTTGAACAATGTATTTCAAGTCCCCACTAGTCAAGCATTAGGAAAGTCTGGTGCTTTTGTCCAAACAGATATTTACAAATGCCGATTTTTGCCCACAGATATCAATTTTATATAATCTAAGAAATGTTCAACTACCTTTATAAATAAGGACATGTCCTGTTCATTGATATGTCCCTAGCACCTAGCAAAGTGCCTAGGATATAGGTGTTCAATAAAGAATTGTTAAACTGAAGTGATACATGATTGAGACACAGCAGCCCAGAACTTAAGAACCAGATAAGCATAATCCTGCAAAACTAACACTTTGGAAAACTCTATGGTAATTATAATGATCCTGTCCATCACACCACTGATTTTGGAACGTCTTTGGACCTACAGCAGGTCCTCAAATAATGCTGTTTTGTTATAACATTGATGAGATGCTGTAGGAACTTAACTCTTGTGTTCATTTCTTAGCCCATGGTAAAACTGGTTTCATCACACATCATTTTGCCTAAAGTTGCAGAACCTATTGATGATGTTAAGTGAGGACTTACTGTATCTCTGGAAAGATGCAGCTTTTCCCTCCTACCAGAAAAACCTAGGAACCTCGTAAATATTAAGAAATTCCCCACTCATCACTAGCAACTAAATACAGACTGTAGAAGAATGGGCTCAACACCACTGTCAAAGTCCCTAAGGGCAATATCACCAACCAGGATGATGTAAACCTTCAGTTAGTCCAGGGGATCATGTTCTAAGCAGCAGTATGACCTGAGGAGCTAAGCTATGAATGCTTCTCTCTGGGAAGCTGGTAACCTTGATAAATGCCTGCCCAAAATGCCACCATTTTGAGGGCAAGGCTACAAAGGACAAAGTATTATTTCAAAATGCCTATGTTGGTTCACTTATTTTTTAAAAAGGATAATAAATGTTCAAAGTTAACCTGATGTACTAAACCACTACCAGTGACATCACCAACATTTATTGGAAGGTTATGGATCTACTACTATACACTTTCCTTTTGCTTCCTCTCACCAAGAAGGCAATCATGAAACTGGCTGACTTTCTAAGAAGTAATTCGATTTTCATTGAACTTCACTTGATTAGCTAGATGTTAAAGGCTCAAAGGCAGCACTGGTGCTTGAAGCAAGGTGATTCCCCTGGAGTCTACAACAGGATTGATGACTCACACTTAATAGATAGACTTTTGTTCCTTTTGTGCACCTGCTGAGGCAAGTCTTGTGATGAGACTGACGTAAAAAGCATTTGCTACAACAGCTAATCCTTACTTTGTGTTCTGTATTTTAAGAAATCTATATTCTACTTTGCTAATTATCAAAGAGCTACAAAATTTGATCTACAACAAACATTCATACACATCAAATTAGTTAAACATAAATGAATAATAATGCCCAAATGCTGCAAGGCGGTGGTAAAGCTGGTCCCCTCATCAAGAAGTGGTTATAGCATAAGTTAGGATAACCCATTAAGAAAGCAATTTGGCAATATGAACCATGACCATATTGTGTTTATGTACTTTGATACGTATTGTCAGTAAGAATTTGTTCTAAAGAAATATTTCAAATAACAAAAAAAATAATTTAAGGGCCAGCTGAGTGGCTCAGTTGGTTAAGAGTGGGAGATCTGAGCAACAGGGCTGCTGGTGCTCGATTCCCACATGGGCCAGTGAGCTGCGCCCAAGCTGAGCTGCCAACACTCAGCTGGTGAGATCACGTGCTCCTAAAAACAAGGCTGCCGTTTCGACTCCCACATGGGATGGTGGGCTATGCCCACCCGCAACTAAGATTGAACACGGCACCTTGAGCTGAGCAGCTGCGAGCTGCCGACGGGTGGCTGGATGGTGACTGGACTTGGAGCTGAGCTAGCTGCGCCCTCCACAACTAAGACTCAAGGACAACTTGGCTGTTCTCCTTCCCCAATTCCCCAACACTGTTCCCCTTCTCCAAATCCCCAATAAAATCTTAAAAAAAAAAATTTAAGCAGGCAAACATCCATCACAATTTTCTAGTAAAGAGATAGTGAAAGTAGCCTAAAGTGCCCAAGGAGAGGAAGGAACGGTTAAATTTGCGTTTAAATATTTTGGTACTGAAAGTTAAGTAGCAACAAAGACAGATGCTTGACAAAAGATAAACATGATACAAAAGCATAGTTTCGTTATGACTGAAACCATGTAAAACATATACAGTAAAACCTTGGATTGCGAGTAATGTGGCTTGCGAGTGTTCCACAAGACGAGCAAACATTTCTAATACATTTTATCATGGTAAACGAGCGATGTCTTGCAATACGAGTAGTTTGTTTCCGGAACGAATTATGCTCACAAACCAAGGCATTACTGTATATGGCTATGCAAAAGAACAAGGGAATACACAACTGTAGTTTGATTTTTTGCTAAATTTTGTGAGATGATGATATAGTATCTTAAATATTTTCCTGAAACTAGCCTGTGTATCAACCCTTTTTAGTAAAAAGATTTGAAGTCAAAACTTGGTCAAAGAACCCTGCCTCTGAATTAAAAAAATAAGTAAATAAGTAGCAGGTTTCCTATTCTCTTCTTACAAATCCTCGGGCCAGGTCAATTTGGAAAGTGAGGCACATTTCAGTCCTGTTTGGCAGGGTAGATGGCACATTATTGTTTTACAGGTTCTGAGACAATCTACAATAAGCCTGTTTAACTTTGGCTGGCTCAGGAATTGCTAGATGGACCTGATCACAAAACCCTTTTTGCACGGAAGACCTTCTAACATTCCTCTCCCCAGTTTGGGAAATGCTGCTTGGGCCAATGATGCTCAAAGGAGGCAACGGAGGGAAGGCATCTACATTACCAGGAAGATGTTTCCAGACCATGTGCTCCCTAGTTGGGAGTCACTAATGACAGTCCTATCCCTCAGGCGTATGAATTAAGGTAGAGAAAAATCTTCAGAACTACTGATCTATGTTGCTCCTTAGAAATAATGAATATAGAATATACCCTTTAGGGTGCCGTTTTGGGAGATTTTCTGGCCCTTAAAAAGGGGGTTCTCATCTAGTCCAAAGGTAACAGCAATTTTTACAAAGGAATGGTGTCTCTTCTCTGTAATTATGAAGTGGCAGCCAAAGAACTCTGAGGAACCCATATGAGAACTAGTCAGTTTCCTTTTTAGATATATTGGGTTGTCGGAAAAGTCGTGATGCATTTTTGCAACGAAAAACATACAAAAATACGTCGTGACTTTTCTGACAACCCAATAGTATTGTTCATGATGTGAAAAAAAAAAAGTATACCTTTTTGAAGTCTGGATATTTAAAAACATATATATGTGTGGTAGTAGGATGTCTCCATGGAGCAAATACCAAATATCTACTTCACAGAGCTAAGGAATGGGCTGACCCAGCCCCCACCCCTTCTACATAGTTCTGTAGCGTTATGCAACCATTACCTCTGGTCGAAGTGTAGCTTTCATGCAGACCTGGCAGAGAGGTCCATTTCGGGAGAACTGAAGAGGGAGGCGCCGAGTTCGATTTCGACATGTTGGCTCCTCACAAATCAACCAGCCCTGGAGATGAAAAAGAGAACACGTCAGTCCTCTCACCACCATCAACAATACAAATAAAAACTCCTTTCGTTTCATTCAACCCTTCCTTAGAGATTTTGAAATAGCTCCTTACGTTTCTTTCCTGACATGTTCATTTGATGTACGCCCCCAACTTAAAAGTTAGGCAACTCATCAAGTTAAAAAAAAATAGTGAAAGATTACGTGAGGTATTATTCCCTTTTCTTAAAATAGCACCCCCACCTCGCATACAAAAAAGCCCCCCCCCACAAAAAAAAACTTATACGATTACATACAGAATGTAAAGTGAGGGGTTTTAGTTCATTAGTACAAATCATTACCAAAGTAAAGAATTTATCATTTAGAGATGAATGACTTTCCCAACAGCTGAGTGATTATTGGTTACTAAAGTGCTGTGATTAGTTTCCGTATCTGTGAAATGGCACAATAGCACTTGCCTTACAGGGTTGTGGTAGTGAGGTAATACGTTTAGAGTGCTTAGAACGATACTTGGCATAAGAGAAACACTAAATGTAAGCAATTATTTCATGTAAAATTAAAACATATTCTTTCACACATGTTCTCTGGAGGCATAAAACTGACTGCCATGTTTTCAAGGACAACGTCAACTGATCACCCTTTTCTAGTGGTTTCAAATAGCCACTGCCCACTTCTCTGGCCTTTAAAATCCTCTTTGCACTTTGCTCCTTCAGTTACTCTCCCCTGCTGCTCTTGTATGAATTTTCTCATGGAGATATAACAATATGCCTGTTATCTTAAATCAGCATTATGTTTGCTATGAAATATACCTGTTAAACAAGGAAGACAAGACTTCCCAAATGGGGCTGAGCAAACCTCAGGTGTTCTTATGAAGGCCTCAGGCTCTGGGGGCTTTAGTGTTCCATGTTTGGGCATAATGAGCCTAAGGTAAACTAGTGGGGAGCACTGGGGTATAAAGGTGAACAAGGTATGTTCCCTCGTTTCACAGCGTTCCCACTTGGGGAGCCATAGGCAGGGACCGGACTGTCTTTGTGTCTTGGAGCATTTGGAGAAGCGGAACTTTCCAAACTGGTCTTGAAAAGTAGAAAAGTGTGGTAGGTGGAGAAGGCAGGAGAGGCAACTTAGGTAGAGAGAACAACATGTGCAAAAGAACGAAGGCCAGAGAGAACTGTGAGTAATACGATTAAGAACGGGATCCATGCCATGTGTAACCCCATTCTGTTTCTAGACTGAGCAACCTGTTGGTCTTTTCTCCCTAGAGAAGAGCAGTATATACAGAGTATATACAGAGGGTGCCAAAGAAATTATACACATTTTAAGAAAGGAAAAAACTGTCTTAAAATTGTAATATTCAATATATACCAATAACAAAAGATGAATACGAGTCACATCTGACTTCTGCAATTATAAGAGGTGCTCAAAACGGTTGCCATCAGCGTAACTTTAATAGTTTTTTCCTTTCTTAAAAGGTGCATACATTTTTTGGTACCCTCTGTATATACAATTGGTGCTTAATTACGTTAAGGACCTTCGTCTACCAGTCAGCGTGGCCACAGGGCATTAACCCAAAACTGCGGGATGTCCCCACTGGCAGCTGTGCTGAGTGACTTCTTTCCTCACACAATAGGCCCTTCTTGGAAGCGGCTACAACCAAACTCAAGGGAAAGCACCCAAATCAGTTCTTCCAGCTCCATTTATGACGTTCACACCTAGAGAAGTACACTGTAGCATTTCTGACTAAAAGAAAATATGCTCCCTTTAAAGAATATAAAATTCATCTAGCCAATACATTCACAGTAAGCTTCAACAGGCTGAGTTATTTTAATATTTAATGTGAACTTTTCAGGTACAGGGCCTCAAGGAGTCCTTATGAAATCTTTAATATATGCCCAGAATTATATTGAACGGGGTGGAGAATAGGCAAAGAGCTCCCAGATACAGAGTTTCAGGAAATTACAATTTACGTAGAAAAACAAGGTCCACACAGCTCAAAGACTAAAAGCAATTCACTATGGTTTGGCTTTAAGAACCAAGTTGTATGGTACCAAGTCTAAATGCTCAACAACACAGGGAACGGATGGAGTCATGTGGATCCTACGTACCTTAGACAAAGAACTGCTACCACAGCAAAAGACCATCAACTGGAATAAAGGGCTCATTGGTTCTGAGTCACAGGCAACTGTTTGTTCCAAAGCCTAAGTAAGGCCTATGACCACACTTTCTTGATTTAAGGACACATTTTGATTCACGTTTTAATACTTCTGAAACTTAGATGCATTTACAAAATTGACACGTACATTTAATGATGGATTTCTGTTTCCTTCAAAAAAGCTGTTAAGTCAAAAGTGCAGCTCACAAACGATGGCCCCTCAGAATGAAGGAAACGAGATACTCTGGTTTAGCCTGTTCTAGGCATGGGGAATACTGAGGGGGACAGTGGAGCAGACAGCAGCAGCAGGTATTCAATTTTAAATGCAGCCTATAAACACTGAAGGTGAGACTCGTGGTTTCTGAAAGTCACCACTTAGGCATATTAATAAAGGAAACAGGAGAATTCAAACAAAGCATGTATGAAAAATGCAGGACTGGCCGACTCCTTTATCATTCATTTGGGCTTGTTACATTATATTTGCTATCTGAGGCTTTATACACTTTGGAATATGTATCAGTTAACACTGCCAACCACAGTCATAATTCATTTAATTCTAAACATAATTTTTAAAACGTAAGCAGTCAGGTAACAACCATCATGTTCTGAGACAATTATTAAGCACCAGAATACAACCTGGAAGTTAAAACTATTTTTTAATTTTAAAAATACAATGCTCAATAAGCTTCAAGCCCTTTTCAGATGTTTTTGAAACTCGATTCCATCAATTTACTACAACTTCACGACTCACTAGGTGAGCTGCCAACCAGGGAGATGCTAAATTGTCACCTCACCTGTTTCTAAAGCAAACACCTAACTCTATCTCTGACAGAGTTACTAACTAAATGTCCTTTCAAATCATAAAGAAAACAGATAATATAATTTGTCTAGACTTCCTACCAGTTATAATTAACATTAAAGCGGTCTTTTCTTTTTTGTCACCTCTCTATTCAGTACTTATTTGGGTTTGTTTGTACTTACTATCTGTTAATCTCCCTTTACAAATGACAACAATAACTTGTGCTATTATGCATGGAAATTAAACACGCTGATAACTGTGTGAAGGGAACTGGGGCTGAAAAAGATATTAGAAGCCTGTAACTCTTTATGCCTCTTGTTTTATTTTGATAATTAAGCTTTTCGCCCTGGTGTATTTTAAACAAAACTCTTCTATGGGGGAAATAAGCCCTAATCATATTCAATATATGCTTTGCCTCCCCATTCAATTTCGTCAAGTACATTTTGGTTAACCCTTTGTTCCCCCAACAAATAATAACTGGCTGTGCAAAATCTACTTCTCAAAGAACATTTGTGTTGTTAAAAATAAATATGTCAGGTCTTTGAAAATATTCCATGATGGGGTAAATCTTACATTGCAAGATCTCATAGTGAATTTTACCTCTCATGGGTGATAAAAACAAAGCAAGTGAAAATACTAACATTGTATGAATTCACTTTGATTTATCACTCACAAGGACAAAACTAAACTTACTTTCATTTCCCATGTTGGGAAGTAACGTACAGCCCAAAGCTATGTTACCAAGTCAATAGAGGAAAAGAAAAATTCATAAAGCGTAGTCCAACCTATAGAAAGGTTTGGGTTTTAATAAAAAGCTCCAGAACCATTCTAAGGATGCCTACCATCCAAATATGTCACTTTATTATTCAATGCACGCCTAAATGCCAAATTGTCATAACCAACAGATGTAAGGTCATTAAATTTCCAGATAGCTACCATAACCATGTTTATAAGTAGAGGGTTCAAAAGAGGTGAAGCCAGCCTGTCCAATAGCGAAACAAATCTTTTCAAAAACAGGAAAAGATCTATCACCTGTTGTTTTAGTCTCAGCATCACTAATTCCTTGAAATCATTGTGTACGAAATTGTGTCAAATGCTGATTGGTTCTGATTGCTAAATTATATTTCTGAGACCTCAACTAAAATGGTTTCGGTTTGCATGTGCTAAAAAGGGATCGATTTCCACATGTCACTGAGGCGTTCCTGGTAGCTGCCCCTTAAACACAAACTTTTTAATTTGTGTACATTCGTATTTTTAGAAGGATGCACGCACAGAAATCATCCAGACCTGGAAATGTGGTACATAGGAGGCATTCAAAATTATCTTTTGAATATAGTAGTCCCCCCTTATCTGCAGTTTTGTTTTCCGTGGTTTCTGCTAACCGTGGTCAACCAGTCTGAAAATATTAAATGGAAAATTCCAGAAATAAACAATGTGTAAGTTTTAAATGGCATGCTGTTCTGAGTGGCAAGACGAAATCTTATGTAGTCCCGCTCCACCTGACCAGGATGTGAATCATCCCTTTGTCCAGCGGCTCCAGTGTACAAGCTCTCTGCCCATTAGTCACTTAGTAGCCATCTCAGTTATCAGATGACTGTCAATGTACCGCAATGCTTGTGTTCACGTCACCCTTATATTACTTAATAATGCCACGTTCTCATAACTTTTACTGCAGTATATTGTTATAATTGTCCTATTTTATTATGTTTTGTTGTTAGTCTCTGAATGTACTGAAGTTATACATTAAACTTTATCACAGGTATGCATGTATAGGAAAAAAATATAGTACATATAGGGTTCGGTACTTTTAATCTGTGGTTTCAGGTAACACTTGGAGTCTGTGCGGATCCCTCATGGATAAGGGGGGACTTCTGTAAATGAATGAATACAAGCAATAAAATTAAAAAAAAATGCATGGGCAAGTTTAAGGAAAATAATAAGCAAAGGGTCTAAATCTCACAGGAGAAAAAAATTCACAGTAGTTCTCATACTTTTGAATCAAATATGTGGTGGATCCTTCTCCCATTTCCAATCACTCACCAAGTCTGTCCACTG